CCATCCCTGCCAGATGGTGCACTCCCTCTGTCTTGCCAGAGATCCTTGGAGGATCAGCTGAATAACGTATATCCTCACAAGGAGGCAAGACAGAGGAGGAAATTCAGTGCTTTGCCCTCCAGCACAAGCAGGGTCCATGATTCAGGGTCTAATAGAACCAAAAGACCTTCCCGAGAATGCTGGGTTTACCGAGATTGCAGCCTTTGGTATGTGAAGCTGTTTCCCCCTCCTGCCTTTGCCCCATGCACAGAGGTAGCCCTGAGTCACGTTCATAAAGCCTGGTTTTGCTCTGTGATGGGGACACGTGTCCGTGTCAGGCAGCACTTGGAGCAAAGAGCAGCCAAACAGCCAGAGCCAAGCCAATGGCTCAGACCCACAGAGCTGGATCCAGTCTTCCCTCAGCAACCTCCTCAAGGAGGAGGTCCCTCAGCCATGCAGGGACTGACAAAGGCACTGACCCATTTCCCCATCAGTTGCCCAAAGCAGCCGCTTCCCAACTCGCCACTGCTCCTCCTACCTGTGCCCCTCTTCCAAAGGGCTCCCCACCATATCCCTTCCTTCCCCCAAACTCCTTAAACAATATTAAACACTTAATGGCAATTAATACGCTTTAATGCAGGTTTTGGGGCCAACCAGCTGCTTAGAGGGTGCTTAAACCATCAACCCCTCTCAATCCCGTTGCCCTTGTCATACAAAGTCAGCCGAGACCCTAATCCAAGCTCCCCCCGCACTCCCAAGGAGGCCAGAGGGTATAAAACCTCCTGGCACATGGGCACCGCCAGCCCAGCCCTCCCCGCAGAGCAGGGGCAGGCACCACCTCCCGTCCCCTCGGATCTACTGTTGTGCTTATTAAGTTCTTCTTCGGATTGGGGGGGGATCCCAATATCCAAAAATCGGATATTTTGCTGCATTAGGGGGTGGTGCTTCCTTTTTTTGTTTTAAATTGGGGTTGAAGCAGAATTGATACAGACTCAGAATATCTGATTTTTAGAAAGCCCTTAGAAGCAAAGCAGCTCCCCTCACGTTGGCAGGATGAACGGGACGGAAGGCGTCAATTTTTACGTGCCTATGTCCAACAAGACAGGGGTGGTACGAAGCCCCTTTGAGTACCCCCAGTACTACCTAGCTGAGCCCTGGAAATACCGTGTCGTGTGCTGCTACATCTTCTTCCTCATCTCCACCGGTTTGCCCATCAACCTGCTCACCTTCTTGGTGACCTTCAAACACAAGAAGCTCCGGCAGCCGCTCAACTACATCTTGGTCAACTTGGCCGTGGCTGATCTCTTCATGGCCTGCTTTGGCTTCACAGTCACCTTCTACACGGCCTGGAATGGCTACTTCGTCTTTGGCCCCATTGGCTGTGCTGTGGAAGGCTTCTTCGCTACGCTGGGAGGTAAGGGCTGTGGGAGCTTGGGTCTTCCTTCTTCGGGGCTTTGGGAGCCCAGTTCCTCTCCTTCATCATGCCATCAGGGCAGCCGTGATGCACGCAGCATCCCTCCCATGCAGAAAGCCATCTCGCATGCTGCTGCAGTGTCACGGCTTGTTGCATGGGACAGAGCTTGCCGTGCAAGGCACTGCTTCCCTGCGGCTTAAAGGCAGGGACCACATCATGTCCTTAAGTCAATGTCAAGCATCTCTGGCAAAAGGCTTCCCTTTCTGTGAAAAGATGGAGCACTGGGGAGGGTTCAGAGGGGGAAGAGAGATCCCTTGGGAGACGGCCCCACAGAAGAGGTGGGGGCATGGAAAGGAGTTCAAGACAAAAAAAAAAGGGGGTCACAGCTTCTTTAGGGAAAAAAAGAAAGATGAAGCAGCTCTTAACCAGAGGAGAAGAGCAGCAGTGTGGGGGGAAGGAGGATTCAGAGCTAGTGAAGCCAGGCCCTGTCTCTGCAGCAATTGCTCAGCTCTGTCCCAATTGCTCCCAATTTGAGTGCCCTCGGGAGCTTCCTTATTTCATTTCTCAGGGACATGAGAGCTGTTAACGCTTCGCCCTACAGAACCCCCCCTGCAAAACAGGGAAAATTCACTTTGCACCCAATGCCCACGCAGCCACTGGGCCCACATGACACCTCGTGATGGATCTGACAACCGCTAATCCTCGCTGTAGACATCTATAACCACTGCAAGGGCTTCACTTGTTTTCCCCTAAATGGGGCAATTTCCTGCAATGATGCTGATTGGGGGGAAGGCTATTCTGCCAGGCTAAAGCAAAGTTAAATGTCCTGATCCAAGCCAAGGACTCAGGAAGGGCTTGGTCTTGGGGTCAGAACATCGTATGGGTCTGCATCATTTCTGACCAAGTGAGCTTCAGGCAGCATTATTTGCTCTTCTGCCGTTTGTGGCTAGTAAAGAGCAAGGAGGCTTCTGTTCAGAGGGAGGAATGTTTGATGGGAAGCAGTCGCAGTGCTAGCAGCAGGTCTCCAGCGAATGCAAGCACAGGGTGTAGTTATCAGCAGATTATCACAGCTGGGGGCATTAGCAGGCTTATGGCACCGACTAAACTCTTCCAATCCCCTGAAGTTTAATTATCCCTTATAAACACATGTGCAGGCATGCCCACACACACACAGGCTCCCCACACCAGCACTGGTGGAAGGCTCATGAAATGCGCATTTAAAGGCATCAACAGGTTTGGACACCTCTGGTATCTTTGCCAGGAATATGTTTCTCTGTGCCCAGCTTCATTTTTAAAGTCCTACAAACCCATGATGATCACCAGCATCCTCCATCACCAGCACCCCACTGCGGCACAGCCGTTCCCCTCAGCATGCTGCCGTCGGGAGATCCTCAGTTATTTAGTAGGATGCTGGTTTTCCCTTGCTGATCCCCGACTCCTCAGTTCCCTCTGCTCTTTGCTGCAGCCACAAGGCCGTGAAGGGAAGATCAAGCCCAGAGTTGCTCTTACCACCCCCATGTGCTGTTTCTCTCCCTCCCGCAGGCCAAGTCGCCCTGTGGTCCCTGGTCGTCCTGGCCATCGAGCGCTACATCGTCGTCTGCAAACCCATGGGGAGCTTCCGCTTCTCCTCGAGCCACGCCATGATGGGCATCGCTTTTACCTGGGTTATGGCCTTCTCCTGTGCTGCTCCACCCCTCTTTGGCTGGTCCAGGTGAGTCCAAGGATGCAGCAGCCCCTGCTGCTGTGCAGACACCCCACTGGGACAGGACGTGAAACCCTCTGGGCTCCTGCAATAGAGGCAATAGGGCAAGTCAGAATGTAAATGAGACCTGAGCTGTCAGTCTCACGACAGCTTGGTGTCCCCTAACCAAAGGCAGGCACAGGCTCAGCATCTCCTGCTGCAATAGCCCTTCGTGCTCTGCAGAGAAAGAGGAGCTTTAACAGGCACAGCTTGTCTCGTGCTGTGAAGAGCCCATTCTTCTCTGCAGACTAGAAAGAGCATTTGGACAGCCAGGCCAGCAGGCAATTCAATCCCTAGGTTGAGCTCCTCCTGTGGCCCCCAGGGAGGGTCCTGGTGAAGATCCTAACCTTTCTCTCTGGCAGATACATACCGGAGGGGATGCAGTGTTCCTGTGGTCCCGACTACTACACCCACAACCCTGACTATCACAATGAGTCCTACGTCCTCTACATGTTTGTCATCCACTTCGTCATCCCAGTCGTGGTCATTTTCTTCTCCTACGGGCGCCTCATTTGCAAAGTCCGAGAGGTAACACTGGGAGGGGATGGATGGGGCCAGGGTGGGCAGCAGGAGATGGTGTGGGGTGGGAAGCTTCTGGGTGCTCCTCAACACCCTCCTGCTTGCAGGCAGCTGCCCAGCAGCAGGAATCAGCCACAACCCAGAAGGCCGAGAGGGAGGTGACGCGGATGGTGATCCTCATGGTGCTGGGATTCATGCTGGCTTGGACGCCCTACGCCGTGGTGGCGTTCTGGATCTTCACCAACAAGGGAGCGGACTTCACTGCCACTCTCATGTCAGTGCCTGCCTTCTTCTCCAAGAGCTCCTCCCTCTACAACCCCATCATCTACGTCCTCATGAACAAGCAGGTGAGACCCCCATGGCATGCAGGGTGAGCCTCTGCCCTGGGCTTACCAACACATCTGGGGTCATTGCAGGCACCTCACTCTTTCCCAGAAGGGGTTGAATCTCAGCCCTGAATCTCAGGGGCTGTTGGGGGCTCTTGGTCCTTGTAGCACATCCCCACTGTCCCCCAGTGCTATCGTGGTCCATTTCTCTCCCCTCTTCAGTTCCGTAATTGCATGATCACCACAATCTGCTGCGGCAAGAACCCCTTTGGGGATGAAGACACCTCTTCCGCTGTATCCCAGAGCAAGACCGAGGTCTCCTCCATCTCCTCCAGCCAAGTATCACCTGCATAGACCATGGACAGTTTGAACTGGGGTGACCCCCCGAGCTCAGGGACCAATACAGACATCCCACTCCCACAGTCTCCCTTCATGCAGTCCCTCCCTTGTGCACCAACACCCAACCTTTAGCTGTGCACCTACTGCAGTAGCATCCCCCAGGCACCGGACACCCCTGTGCCCAGTGGTGCGAACACACAGAGCTCTTCCCACTGACACAGCCCCTCGCAGGGCAGCCCAGATCCCTTCCCCAGCTCCCAGGAGCTGGTCAGCTTCTGGGAACTGTCTCTGCCTGCCCTCTGGCTTAATTCACACCATAGCAGCAGCCAGTGGGACACCCCAAACCCTGGTATTTCCCTCCCTGCCCTGAGCGATGTCCCTGCAGCATCCCCTTCCCCGGTGCTCAAGGGAGTGTTGCAGAAGCATTGAGCCCTCACTTAGTGCAAAAGCTAAGCCTACAGCCAGAGCACACCGCACACCCCTGAGCACAGCCCTGCGGCTGGAGCTGCCCTTTGCCCAAGCCTGGGGCTCCCGGAGCTGCCTCCTCTGCCGGCGCGGCTGATGGGAATCGATACCTGCAGTCTTCATAAATCAATAGAACAAATGGAGCCGTGAGCGGGCTTTGCTTCAAGCCTGACTCCCTGTAGCCCCGAGACAACTCTGTAGATACAGGGGTTTTCATCTTGGAACCTGTAAATATTTGCTCACGTACTTTGAAGTCTCTCTCTCAGCCGTTTCCTTTCTCTTCCTTCTCCCAACTCCAAGGCACAGAAAGGGTCTTTCAGCTCCACTCCTGCTGGCCAGACACCCACAGCCAACCTTGGAGGGTGGGACCGGCCCCTGAGCACGTTCCTGTACATATTTTATAAATAAGATGTCAGCACAAGGACTTCTACAGTCAAGGAATAGGGATTAAAAAGTAAGAAATAAACAGAAGCAGCAGAGACACAAATCGAGATGCTCCGTCCTGGTCCTTTCTGTGGGGCTGCACCGACGAGATGCTGATGCAAATGTAATGCTGCTTTTGGAGATGTGAGCCCAGAGCTGTCTCGATACCCATGGGAAGGGGGATCTGTGAGTTAGACCAGCCCTGATCACAGAGGGGAGAGCAGTGACTGTCCCCAGCAAGGTGACATCCCTGTGAGCACCAGAGGGGTTTAGAGGCACAAAAAGACACAGACAGGGCACAGAGCAGGAAGTGCTGCCGCCTGTACCATGGCCCTCACAGCCCAAGCTATCACCAGCCATTATTTTTCTGTCCTTTAACATTTAAGCATCCCCCACGTAGCCTTAAATAAAGCAGAGCTTTTGCAGAGTTCAAGCTCCCCTCCCCACGGGGCCCTTCGAGGCAGTGGTGTTCAGGAATTGGCAGAGTCAGGGAAAAACTGTTCCCTGTGCCAGCGAATTCGTTATGGAGCCACTGCAGAATGATCCCGAGCACAGGGGCTGCTGAGGCTCTGGCCTCCCTGCTCAGCACACGGGCCCTCTCGCAGGCATTTCCCTTCCTTTTCCCCTTCCTTCCTTTTGGGCCAAAGCAACCAAAACCCATGGGAAGCCCAGGGTGCACCCCTGGGATGGGAATGCAGGAATAGAAACCACCATTTGCAGCAAGCCACCAGCACAGCCCTGTGGAGTGGGGGGGGGAAGATGCTGCTCCCGACCCCAGCTCCCTGGGCTCCCCCTGCCTCTGCATTGCCCCATCCACCTGAACTGGGGGCTCTTGGATTGATGCTGTGGGTCTGGCACCACTCCTGCACCAGCAGCTACACTGAATAATTCATGGCCTGCTCTCCCGGGTCTCGGGAGCCTCCTTTCCTTCACCTACAAAGCAACAAACCCGTTTCCCTTTGCTGCTTGAAGCGAGGGAGCAGCAGAGGAGCGGAGGCACCGCAGCTCTTTACAGTGAGCAGTTGAACACACTGTGTGCAAGGGAAGGCAGCAACCTCAGCATCGCCTGTCTCACCCCTCAACTTCTGAGCACAATGGGACATCATGGGAACACAGCCCTCCCGAACCACACATCCTGAGCTCTGCATCCCAAACCCCTTTCTTCTTGTTTTAAACGCTGCAGTTATAGCTGCAGGCTGCTCGCCTTTTGCTGCGATGCTGGAGGAATTCAGTGATGTAGCAGATCCCAGAGGGGGATAACAGCATCCCAGGACTCCTAACAGGGAGCTCTGGAGAGCCAGGGACCACCATAGGGTGAGCTGAGGCTTTGCAGCTGAATTTCCTATGGATGGGAGAGCAATAGAGCAGGGTCCCATGGAACTGCAGCTCAGGGGCATTGGCAGATGCTGGCAGCAATGCTGCAGTGGTGCCTTCTGGCCACCCCCATCTGCACTCAGCATCCAGCTGCCTCGCCAGATGTGTCACTACCCACAGCACCGCAGCGGACCAGCAGCTTTACCTCCTCTGCAAGGAGCCTTCTCAAGCTGGATGCTGGCTCTGTGTGATGTCCCCAGGGCAGCAGGCTGGCGATGCTCACAGAGGTGCAGCTTGAAGTCATCCGTGATGCAGAGGAGGAGCTGCTTTATTTGGGGTGGAGGCTGCAGGTGGGAATAAAAAGATAAATAAATTATATATATAAATATATATACATAAATATTAAGAAGATATATAAAATAAATAAAGATAAACCCATGTTCTGCCCTCAGCCCCTCTCTAGCAGCTGCTGCTGCTGCTGCTCATCTCTCCTGGCCCAAATCCCTGCAAAGAATTCCAGCATCCAAGTTGCAGCAGCGGTTTCTCCAAGACCAAGAGGGAGTGCAGCAGCCAGGCAGTCTGTAATCACAGCTAAACCTCATCTAGCCCACATTGATTCAACCTTGCCAGGGCAGAAAGCATCTCATTGAAGGCTTTTTCTTTCTGTTGCCCTCCCTTCCTTGTTTTAAAGGCTGGTTTTGGAGGTGTGAAGCCACAGTTTCCTTGCAGCTGCCCACCAGGCCAAGCTCCTCTTGTTCTTCAAATCCAGGGGCTTTTAAAGATGCTCTTTATTGATGTAACACTTATTTATAAGCAAGCAACAGGAGAAGATGGTTAGTTCAGTTATTAAATTTAGAAAGCTGACAAAAGCAAAAGCAATATGGCTTAATAAGAGATTAAGAGGGAAGCAGCAGGACCTTCCATTTCTGACCCCGTGTTTCAGATTGGGTCATATCTATGTATTTTTACTGCTCAGATGGCAACACAATAAAATGACACATTTGTGCGCTTTGCCTACAGGGTTTTTATCACTAATTGATTTCACAACAGCTCATCTAATCTCAGTTCTAAAGGCTTTTGTGTGGGCTGCATTGAAAGGGACTGTCCTGCCCGGGGCATCTCCTGGCAGCGGGGAACATGAGGCTGGGGGCTGCAGAATGTGGGTACCATCCCCTCGCCAGCCTGGTGTGAGGGTCATGCCCAGCCACAGTGTTCACAGGCAAAGCAGCCAAGGGCCTGGACCTTGTGCAGAGTGAGGCAGTGAGGAGCAGTGCAGGATGTGACCGGTGGCACACGTGTGTCCCTCCTCACCTGGGACCATGGCTGCTGGCACAGGTAAACCATGGTTTGGAACGGCAAACAAATGGGAACCTGATTGCGAGATTCCTTACCTGGTTTCCCCACAGTTAAGGTTTAATCCATCTTCATCCCGTTTCCTTTTCACTAAAGCTATTTTTATTACAAGACATCCAGTGACAATTATTTGTTCTTTATATTTGATGAACTTGAGATACAGGTTGGATACGGGCACAGCAGAGCAGCTTGGAACAGCTATGAAAGAGCCACTTGGTTAAACAGCCTGGGGCAAGAACTGCCTTCAGGAGCCCTTGCACAACCCCTATGTGCTCTAGCCCTAAGGAACTGAGATCCCCAAATCCCCCATGAGGTCCCAACCCTGGAAAAGAAACAATCCAGGAGTCATTTCTACCCTCTTCTCCATAAATGCATTGGTATTTCAGGCACTGCCTGCTTGCAATCAGCAAGGATCATTCCAGAGTCGCTCATTCATAGCGGGTAACTGCACCTTCATAGCAGGTACCATCACCTCCTCTCAGCAGCCCCTGGCTGCTGCCACCTGAATTCACATGCAATTGAGGAAAGCAGCCAGACTTAGCCAGGATAAGGAGACAGCTGGATGGAAATTCAGGCCCAAAGGGCATTTCAGTGTCTAACTCTTCCTCCTGCTGCAGCTGGGATTGCTGCTCCTTTACCCAAGTATTGCCATCATCTGTTTTAGGGAAACTGCAGTAATTGGCTCAATTCATTTTAAATCAGTTATCGTTTGTGCAAGCAGCAGTCAGGGGAGAAGCAGCTTGTAGTTAATAACATCCTGATTTGGAGACATCCGCAGGGGTGAGGAGGGAGATCTCAGCAAAGGGCCGGTCCTTGGTCCTCCCCTGGAACACAGGCATGGGTGCAGGGTAGGGGCTCAGGGCGTGAGACGGCTCCTGGGATGATGCTGTGATGTTCAGCACTCCTCCTGCCCCTGGGCTCATCCCCTTCAGGCTGGGATGCTACTGTCTGCAATGGGACATTCATCATCTCTGAGCGTGGAAGCGCAGCCAGGATGCTGGAGGGTCTGGCTCTGTCTATTTGTCTCTGCCAAAGGAAAAGCACCTCCAAGTCCAGCCGTGCCAGCAGCTCTGGAAACAAGAAGATTAAAAAACTCCCCCTGTGCCATCACACATCCAAATCCCAGCCCAGCCCCTCTCCAGGGTGCGCAGAGCCTGGCACCATGGGGAGAAGTTGTCCCACATGGATTACAGCTTGGGAAAGGCCAATGTGCTCCCAGGGGCCCATTGCACAGCCCCAGCAGCTTCTCCTTCACCCAGGTTGAACCCAGGGAGACCCAGGCAAGTGCTTGCACCCCCCCTGGGAAGATGCAGAGCACCCACATTTGTGCCACCTCCCAGCACGGACATCCCCAGCCTGCGCAGAGGTTCCAAATCCATCACTGCCACCTGTGTCACGTTAGCAGCAATAAAAGGATTCAAACAGCAATTCCTTACTTTTATGAACAAATGGCCCTGGATGGATGATTCAGGCAGCATTCAATTCCCAGCAAGAAAGTGTCAGCAAAAACCCAGCCTCTTTCATGTAGGTGGATAACTGCAAATAAAAGTAGGGAATTATTAGCACTTAATACTTGGTGTTTTTTACTCCCTAGTGCTCTTCTCTGGTAGATGCCAAGCACTTTAAATAAATTAACAGATAGGGAGGGGTTTGCTAAGGGGGGATGCTTGGATCCTGGTGATGGATCTGGACCTCTCACACGTGGGGGGCACCATCCCCATCCCACTGCAGGGCTCTCCTCCAGCCCGCCCCCTCCAGAGCCCCTTTTCTCCTCCCCTCTCACCCCATCCATCCCCTCCCTGCTCTCCCATTCTCAGCTCACCGCTACCAACACAGGAGCCCGGAATCCCCCCAGTCCTGGGGGGCTGTGAGCGGTGTCAGAGGCACGCACCAGCCTCCTCCTTCATCAAGGCCGCCTGTATTTGTCTTGCTCATCAGACTGACAAAATGGGCAGAAAACAGACTCCTGGCTATTTCCTGTGCGAGCTGCCCACTCCTCCTCTCCCCTTGGCAATGACTGAGAGCTGAAGAAGCAGGAATAGCATATAAATTTCCTCCCTCCTTTAATAAATACCTCTATTACCTACTGCTCTCTCCTGCGCACCCGGTGGTTTTGCTGCCTCCAGGCAGACGTGCTGAACCAAACCTCTCATTTCTATAGGGAATAAACAGCAGGACTGAGCCAGGCAGGGGCAGAGGGGAGGAACCCCCTCCCAGGGGCCTGCCTGCAGCTTTACATCATGGTATGGGGAGCCAAACGTACTCATTTATTAGGGTTGGGGCTTGTCTGACTGCTCTGCAGCACCTTGGGTGCTCCTTGGACACCCTGCCCTGGTCCCCGGTGGGAAGAGGATTCCCAAAGCCCAGGTGTAGCCGGGTTTGTCCCATGCACCACTGTGCACCTTGGGGTGGGCCTGAGGTTTAATGCAGGAAGGGAATAAGGACAAAGGATGCTAAAATCAAACCTGATGGTGCAGGCAGTGTGGAGTACACAAAGAAGCCCTCAAACCATGGAAGCCCCATGAAGTGAGCTGCAGACCTCGGGGCACAGGGCAGTCTGTGTGAGTGTCAGCAAGATGGGAGCATCCTTGCAATGGGAACCCCATGGGTGTCACTTGGCATCAGCACAGCTCTGGGGGCCCCATTGCAGCTCTGCTGCCCGCAGCTCCCTGCCCAGGACATGACCATGCCACAGGGCAGCTTGTTTGCTGAGAGGCCCTGCCCAGAGGTGACTCCTATACACATTTCACTCCATTTGATGCTGCAGAGCATCACCTGAGGTCAGGGATTTGTCCCCTGCCTTGCTGAACAGCACTTGCGTGCACGCCTGAGCGGGGCTGCTGCTGCAGCACGTGTCAAAGATGTCCCATGCAAATAAGACAAACGCAACACCCACTGAGACCCCCTCAATTCCCGTCCTCAGCTCAGCTCTGGTGCACGGAATGGGCAGGATCATCCAGTTCCAATCCCCTAGGTGAAAACAAGCCAGGAGGCTGCAGCCTGACCCTTGCTGTGTTTCTCCTCCCTGTCCCTCCTTTTGGTCCCAGCCCTTTCCTGCAGCTGTTAGGGATACCCAGGACAAAGCTCACTTGTCCAATGAAGGAAGTGCCTCTGTACACAGGCCACTGGACCCATTGGAAACACCAAAAGCCTTCCGGAATGGCTTGAGCATCACTGTGATGGCAGAGACCTTGCTCCATCCCCACTCTGTAAGACAACAGGTAAAAGCCATCAGCTTTTTACACTCCATCCTCACCAACAGCCCCTCGGGGATCACGCTATCCCCATGCGCACGGGGCACATCCCCTGTGCTTTATGCAAGTGGAGCTGCTGAAGTGCCCCCGGCCCCTCTGCCACCCACCAGCAGCCCTGGCAGCAGCCAGCCCTGCTCTCTCCATCCCCTGCAGCTAGGATTGATGGCAGCCTGGAAAACCCACCTTAAAGAGGAGCATTAAGGGCTGGCAGCCACCCCATTTCCCCCACAGCCAGCACTTGGGGTGTCAGCCATTTCCTGGGGTCTATTGAACTTCTGAACTTAACAAGGTCCTAAACAAGTAATAGCAGCAAGTGGCAGCTCCTGGCTCCCAAGCTGCGAGTGGCATTTCAGGGGCCAGGCCGCCGTCAGCACAAGCAGTGGGAAATTTCTCAAGTGTCCCTTTGATTTATGGCTCCAGTTAATTCTCCAGGAGGGCTGCGAGCTGCCCCTAGCACACCAGACCTCAGAGGGATCAATAATTTACCAGGTGGTTAAATGTTCTTTAAGGTCTAGAGAACACCAGCAGGAGCACAGGTGTCTTTCTGTATTATCCTCACCACCACCACCAAACTGAGCCCAAGCAGCAGGGTCAGCCCGAGCTGGGCACTGCCATCAGCTCAGTGCTGCTGCCATAGGAGGGAAAGGACCAGGATGCCAAGGGACTGGGGGGTTCTCACTCTCTTGCTCTTTCTCTGCATGAAACCCCCCCCAAGGTGTCAGGGGGCACTTGCACCCTGCTCTGCAGGGGCTGGTGCTGGGGGAAGACCACAGAGCAGGAGCCACCACTGACTGAAGCAGAGGGATGGAAAGAGGAGATCAAAGCACCCCCTCTGCAAGTCCCCCAGTGCCATTTTAGCTTCAGATTGGGATGTTTGGGGACGCCAGGGCAGCCCCTAGCCCCTCCAGCAGCCCATGGCACCTATAAACCCACACACACACACACCGGGGCCACTGCAGGGTGCAGAGGTAGATGGCAGCAAAGCCTATTTCTTGCGGAGCCAGGATGCGACATCCCGGTCCCTGCTCCGGCACCATCAGCCACACAGGCCACGGCACCGAGCCGGTACTCACAGAGCATCCAGCCCTTCGCTGTATCCACGGTCTGAGTTTTCCACCGCAGCTCGTTTTCCCCTGGTTTCAATCCTTAAGCATGATTCAGAGCCCAGGATGGAGCTTAATTCCTCCCTGGTGTCAAACAAATCAGCGAGCCAGGTGTATTTAAATGCTTCTGTGCCTGGGGCTTGGCTCCTTGCCTGCCTCTCTTCCTTTCCCCTCATCCCTGGAGCAGGATACCCCCACAGCAGCAGCCAAGCTGCTGCCTTGGATTCAAGTTGTTGGGGATATTGCCAGTGCTTCCAGGGCACATGCAGCATCTCACTGCAGACAGCTTGTCCTGCTCTGCCCCTTGCAGGGGGATGACCGATGCCGCTCACTCACTGCCTCCAAATCCCCTTCCCAGCTCTTCATTGGATTCTTCAGGTGTCAGAGCTTGGCTGTGCAATGCTTTAGGGGACAAGTTCCCCCAAGAGGAACCCCATGGGGTCCCTGCCATGAGGGGAAGATGGGCAAGTCCATTATTGCCAAAGGCTGGCAAGAGGAGCCCACGCTCAATCCCTGTCCCAGAGGGTTTCTCACAGCTGCCCCTGATAAATGGATAATGAATAATTCACTGTTGGCTTTTACTTCATGAAGTATTCATTGCCTTCAAGCTTCCCAGGGTAATTAACTGTCCTATGAGCCCCGTGTAACATAACCCAGCCACAATCCATCTTCAACACTTCATTAGCGGGCACCCGCACCGCTTCCATGAATTAAAGTGGACCAAACACACAAACAAAACCTTACCCTCCCTGGGACTCCCCGGGAGAGTCCGGCATCACATCCCTGAGGAGGCAATGCCAGAGAGGAGGTCTGGGGGGGTGCCAGGACTGGCCCAGCACAGGGCAGCACCGCGGTGCTGGGGACAAGCTGCATTTCCCCAGGACAATGGGGGATGCTGGTTTGGAGCCGACAGCTCCAAATCATCATGATTGATTTCTGACACACTGAGGCCTGACCTCTTGGGACACCCGAGTTACCCACTCCCAGCTCACCCATCCATGCTCAGCAGGCTGGCAGAGCTGCTCTGCACCCATCCCACCCCACATCCAACAAGGCACATCATGAGCTTGCTTCGGAGCTGGATCCGTGCACCCATTTCTGCCCTGCTTTGGGCATCCCCAGAGAGGCACAAGCCCCTCAGCACCAGTGGTGTCAGCCCGGAGGCGAGCCCACCGCAAGGCGACCCAGGCACAAGCCCAGACAGGAGTGGGACATGTCGCTTTGATGGATGGGTAGAAATTTCCTGCAGGCTCCCGTGCTGAGTCAGCCCTTCTGCCTTCAATAATTTAGAGCAATAAACAGCCAGCTGAGAGCGGGCGCGAGTGGGATGCAGCAACCTGGGTGAGATGAGCGATGGCTCTGCCGACAGCCCTGCTCCTCCTGCGGGGATGGCACCGAGCATGGCACAGCATTAAAACCAGCCCTGGAGCCCAGAACAGCACAGAAACACTCCGCCCCAGCCTGTAGAATGAGCAAGATGCTCCTTTGAGGTCCTGCATAGGTTTTACTCAAAGCCCAAAGGAGCATCTTACCAGCACCATGGTCTCTGCACAGCTCTTCTCCATGCAAAGCATCCCCTGAGGCAGCCAGACCTTTATGGGGGCAGCCTGGGTGTGCTCTGACTGATGCTGATCCCAACTCACCCCAGCTGGGGCTGGCAGCCCCTCCTCACCCCATTGTCCTCGCTCCCTGCCCTCCTGCAGCTTCACACCAGGTTTTCCTTGGGTTCATGGAAGCAAGGAGGGCTGCCAGCCTTGTTTTATCTCTGCTACAGCTTGCTGCTGCTAAAGATGTGTATTCCCAGGATCCAGCCCTTGCCCTTTCCCATTGCTCCTGCCTCTCCCATGATCTGTCTCATTTCTCCTTGCCTCATCAGGTGCCTGATTGAATTCCTCCCCTGATCCCACTGGCTTTGCCTTGCAAAGCCCAGGCTGGAATCTCCATTCCCCATGTGCTGCTCTCTGGGAGGCTGCCTGCATGCATGGGCATCCTGGCGATCCCAATGCTGGCTTCTCACCTCCAGCATCAGCCCAGGATAAGGTGGATGTTGAGATGTGACACCCCAAACACAGGGACAAAGCATGTGCTGGCATCCTCTCAGTAAGGGCTGAGTTACAGCACAGTACCCATTGCTAAGAGTGATGGTGAAAGAAACTGATATCCCTGAGCTGGAAAACTGATGGGTTTTAGCTAGAATTAACCAAGCAGCTCAATGGAGCATCCTCCATGTGAGGGGAAAGAGCTGATGCAGCTCGGCCCCTCTCCATCACGGGAGGAGATGGGCTGTCCCCAGGGAGCCGCTTCCACAGCAGCTCAAGCCAAGTCTCTCCGTCTGGAGCTGTGTATCCTGGCCCCTGGTTAAGTGGGGCTGGGGGCAGCAGGAGCTACAGGTTGGGGTCTCCAGGCCCCATGGCTCCATGGCCACCTGTCCTGCTGGGAGCCACCATCAGCTGCAGAGCCTGCTTTAGGAGCCGTGCAGGGCACAGCGTGCAGATGTTGGTGTTTGCTTTGACGCACTGCGTTTGCCAGGCAGAACCCAGGCATGCAATTTTCATTACATGATATCAACATTTAGCTCTAGCGTTGGCAATGTCAACCCTAATTATTTTCAAGAAGTCTTGAGGGCTGCAGGGATAAATCAATATAAATAACATGTTCATAAACTCTGAATCGTGTTCCTAACAGCATTATGACTTTAATTTGAATCTCAGGAAGAAGGAGCTTGCATCAGGTGTCCCCCTCCCTTCTTTCATTTATTAATCTTCGCTGTCTGTCTGGCCTCATCCCCCACATCCCATGAAGGAGGATGCTCAAATAGGGCGAGGAGCTCCATGGATGGCTCCATGGGTTTCAGCAGCAAAGAGGAGCGGGTGACCTGCCAGTCCCACCCAGCATGGCAGCAGTGGGCAGCCTCCAGCACATTTGGGACCGTGATGTTCTTTCCTGTCACTGGGCAGCCGCATCCTCCTCATCCTCCTCCTCCTCATCCCCACGGGCTGCAGCACTGGGGCTCTCGCCTCCCCCGCCTGCAGTGCAGATGGCCCAGCATATGGGCAGCCT